AAAGAGTGTGCTGTGCTAGTTTGGCTTGTTATCCCAGTCTCCTCCAGATCTTACAGCTATTTATGAAAATACTTTTGAATTCCTTGCTTCTATAACAACATTGGAGGCCCCTGTTATGGTAAACTTGGGTGTAATACTTTGACTACATTCCAGGAGAGAGAATGCTCTAGGAAAGCACCTTATAATCAGTTTTCAATTAACTTGGGCTTGCTGTGAAATAACATGTAGCAAATAAAGAGAATATGACTGCTTTGTGAAAAGTAAATAGATGGTATTCTTCCACAGGAGAGGACACATTATGAAATCCTCTTTTGCTCAAAAGGAAGAGTTGAAGGTGGGGGGTTATCTGTCCATAATGTGGAACTAGTTTTATGCTACTGCAGTAATCTAACAGGAGTGTAACCATGTTAATTCCACTTTATTTAGAGGATTCTCAGAAGCAGAAGGAATTGTCAAAGAAAGAAATGCAGAGGGTGCTGGAAGAGAAGCAACAAGTTATTTCAGATCTGAACTCCATGGAAAAATCTTTCTCTGAACTCTTCAAACGATTTGAAAAACAGAAGGAAGTGCTGGAGGGTTACCGCAAGGTAGGGTTCTGGAGTGTCAGTAACATCCTTCCAAGGTAAACGAGCCTTAGTGGAGAGGAAATGATGAATTTCTAGCAGCCATTAATTACACAGTATAGGCACTGCCTGTAAATCCAGGGGTTAAGTTGTTGTTTAAAGATTTTTAAAGATTACTGGTTTGTTGTATTTAGTGGCTAGCTTAAGGTATGACAATGATCTGTTAGAAGCTGAAGCTTTGTCAAAAAGAAGAATGAGCTGTTTTCTTGCTGCATGCATATAACTTTTCTGTCAATCACAGAGAGACTCTTAGGTAGCAGCTGCTGCATAGGGGCAGCTTGTTTCCCTGACATGCTGTATGGATGTTGGATTCAATATTTTGAGTGAGAGTGATAATAGCTTACGAGGTTGAAGTTCTTTAGCTTTAGCTTAAACCCAGCTTGTTTATGTCAGGCATTCATTCTACTGCATCTTCAGACTGGAGGAATGAAGCTAATGAGGAGCATAACCTATGGCTTGTTACTACATAAAATGCATAGAAATTGATGGTGTTTTAAAATAAGCCTTCAGATTTTTTCCTGCAGTTATCCTTTAATATTCTTTGTGTACTCAAGCTTAGAACTAGCCTGTTAAAAGTTTTGTGATAGTCTAGGTTTGAGAAACAGAATGTCTGTGGCAACTTAAGCTTTGCTTTACTAACATGCCAGGCGTCCTTCATCTTATATCTCTTCCATCTTTCCACCCTGAACTCAGAAGCTCTTCCCGCAGCACTTGGAAACAGTTGTTAAATTCAAGAGCTGGAATTAGTAGGGAGTCTTGGCAATTGTTTCAAACAGTTCCAACTTGCTATAAAAGCTAATAAAACTGCCCTAGTGTCTGTGCCTACCAAGGTAACTTTCTTGCTTTTAATGTTAGGTGAATAAATCTGAGTTTGGAAAGTGAATTGAGTTGAAAGGGAAGCTTTATTCCCTGTAAAAGTCTGTGGGACTTCGCAGTTCTTCCTGTTGCTCTGATGAGCAACTGCTGCCACTGCTGTAGTCAAATAGTCCATTTGTGAAGTGGAGAGACTCTTCCCTCTACCTGCATTTAAAAAGCTAACCAAGCTGCTTGGTTTTGGAACAGAATGAAGAAGCTCTGAAAAAATGTGCTGAAGAATACCTGGCTAGAATTAAAAAAGAGGAGCAGAGATATCAGGCATTGAAGGCACATGCTGAAGAAAAGCTGCAGCAGTAAGTACCATGACCTGAAACCAAATACTGGGAGTGAAATAGTTTTCACATTTGCTGCAAATTATGCTGCATTAACACCAAAACTTGGCAAAGAACATTTTGTTCGGGGACTAATCCAAAGTATGAGTACCTAGTGTGGTGCTATGAATGGTTTAGCTGTGCTGTGTGAAGGGGATGTAAACACCACCTTGCTTCCATTTCAGAGCAAATGAGGAAATTGCCCAGGTACGAAGCAAAGCCAAATCTGAGACTGCAGCTCTACAAGCCAGTCTCCGCAAGGAACAGATGAGGATCCAGTCTTTAGAGAAGAGCCTTGAACAAAAGGTTAGTCAAAATGTCACGGGTGAGTCTCTTCAAGCCACAGCCTTAGAGTAGGTCAAGAGCTACCTTGTACCAGCACTAGAAATAGCCATGTGAGCTCTGCTGGTTTTGATGGCTGCTGTCCTGGCAGGCTTTGGGAAGTTAGTATTGAACTTAAGGTATAACTCTGTCAAGATTCATCTGTATGTATATTTTTTTGCATCAAAAGGTTTATTCTCATAGGTGGGTCTGCAGAAGTGATCAGGCTACTGTCAGGAGGGTATTTGAACTACTGAATGACATGATCTAAAACTGAAGAATGTCCAAGAACAGAATCTGGGAATGAATGTTGAATAACTGTCTGGTTCATGTTGTTTATAACTGATTTATAAGCTATTAGCACTAGTACAGACACTTTTGTATTGACTGAACTCTTTCAGTATTGTTCAGGCCATTAATCCTTTTATTTGGTATTGTTTCATACTGCATAGCTAAGTCTTAGAATGTTTTGTGAAGGCACATTAGTTTCCTTTATTAGAACCCTTTAAAGCAAAAAGCTCTTTGAGGATTAAAAGTCATATGGCTGGAAATTCATGCTATTAGTTTTGCTGTCTCTTTGCCAGCGTTGGAGACTTAAGTAGACAATGCTGACATTCCTGTTAGGGAAAAGTCTCATAGTTGTGTGAAGTCCTCAGCTTTATGGCTGAGGTTTGCATAACTGAGGAAGCAGTAGGCCTGAAACTTGAGAAATGAGACAAGCCATTTAACACAGAACTAGTTTTGTTCCTGTTACAAATTCAGTGACATCTTAAGAACCTGTATTAAAATGGTTTGGCCATATAAGGAATTACACAGACTGGAAATACTTTCACTGACACACAGCAACTATCAAAGCATCACCCTATGAGTTGCTTGTATTGTGAAGATTGAAATCTAAACTGACACTGTCTTGCATTTCAGTGTATCTAACAAAGACAGTGAGTCTGAAAAGTCTTACTTCCCTAGATCACTTGGTCTCCACATAGTATGGGAAAGTCTGTGGAAGAAATGGAGACAGTGTAGTGGGTTGTGCCTTATTTCCTGAGGCTCATGAGGGTGCCATGTGACCACCTACAGTTGGCTGTCCTTTAGACTAAATTTGTGAGTCACTAGCATGGAAATGGATTTTGTATTACATGTGTTGGCAGTGATGACTTGTGACTCAGCTCACTAGGTAACCTGGCCTCACTTGAACTTACTTTCCTTTCTTGTCTTCAACAGACTAAAGAAAATGATGAACTAACGAAAATCTGTGATGACTTGATCTTGAAGATGGAAAAAATCTGATAGCTTAACTGTTGTGTAAATATGTCCAGTCTCTGACTTCCTGTCTTGTGTGTTCACTTTATGTATGTTGAGGAAAAATAAAACTGTTGATTTGCACTTGTCTTGCATATTATTGACAGTAGCTTTTGTAGAAAATGTCAGTAAAATTCAGTTGTAGTTGTTGCTTCCAGAAGGCAACAATGTCTTGCATCACACTTTCACATGTCATTCAAATTAAAAACTCCTTAGTTGTCTCACCCTCATCTCTTCCTGGGGTAAGAACAGCAGTTCTGTCCTCATGGCCTGGCTTTGCTGGGGAGGATCAGCATGGGCAATGTCTCTTATTTTGCACTTCCTGCTGTCTCACTTGAAACATCCCAGAGTTCTGAGATTGTAATACAAACTTGGCCTGTCACAGATGCTACTTTTGATGTAAACAAGTAGAACTTCAGCAGTTTGGTTTTTTGTTTGAGAGGAGCTAGAGCGATTCTGGTTTTGCAGACAAGGTAAGCAGAGTATTGAACAGCAGGACAGACTGCTTGCAAACTCTCCCCCTTTTTTTTTTATGTCATTAGTCTTGTTGCTGTTGACTTCTCTCTCACCAGTTGAGAACTCCCTACCTCTTGCCTGTAATGGAAAGCCTTGAGTGTCAGTACAGAGTCAGCAGCAACAGTACTGAATGCCTGATGCCTGCAGAACATGTTCTGCTGTGTGCTTTCCTTAGCTTATTGCTTTGGAAAGTGCCAGATGGTAGCAGGGGAAAAAATTAGTCATAAACCACTGTACAAAACCAAAGTTTACTCCCTGCCTCAAGTTCAGATAGCAGGGATTGTTCAAGGCTGTGCCTTGGAAAGTTCCTTTGTAATCCACACAGATGAGAAACCTTGTACCTGGTCATATTTGTGAACTGTCTTGCCTGTGTTTAATCATGGAAACTGATTTCTGTTGAAGTCCTGGGTGAATATTGAGGTTAGAGGCTGAGGGAGCCTGTGCTTAGATAAGGTTAAGCATGCAGCCACAAAGGGCAGGCCAGCTTTTTTTTCCCCCCTGGTGTTGGCTCACCTTGGTGTGAGGTGACAAACTGGTCCAGGGGAAAGGGTGGTGACTGGACAAAACTACTGTTTTGCAGTAGGTCAGAAAAAAGGGCAGAGCGTTCCAACAGAAGCCTTGACTACATTAATGCACCCCTGAACTTGTGTTACTTGCTGCATAAATCCCTCTGCGGGGCAAGCCTGCAGTGCCAGCTCTGTCCACGAGATGTAGCTACTGCTCTTCGAAAGGACAACAGGCGCACGCGAACCCAGGCACCTCCCTCCGCACGGGAGGGGACACTGCTGTGGGGTGACAGAGCACAGGAACAGGCTGCCAGCAGGGGGGCTGGAGCCTCCTTCTCTGGAGACCCTGAAACCCCACCTGCAGGTGTTCCTGGGCAGTCTGCTCTAGGTGGAGCTGCTCGACTGGACTGTGCTTCAGCACGTTGCAGGGCTGGAGACTTCTCTAGTTGTGTTTAATGTTAATTATTTTCATAGGTTCCTGTTGGGAAGGATAGAGCTGCAAAGTGATGTGTGCCAATGGGCTGCATGTAAATGGTGCAATGAGGGGAGACTTTCATCCACTTTGTTCTGTTGCTTGTGTGTAGCCTCTGCCTTGCAGCCGTTGCTGTCCCCGGTCTGCTGATGGAGGTGGGTGGAGATGATGTCCAGTAGAGACCAGCATACCAGCTACAGGTGCTAGGGTAGTGTCAGTGCCTGACAATTCTCATTAGGTCTGATACCAAACGTTATCAAGAATCACACCTTGTGTGCCTAGCTGTCTGTTGATATTGGGTAATGGAAACTGCAGTCCAGTGTGGTGCAGGAAGACACAACACTGTGCTCCTGCTGTAATCTGTGGCCACTGCCTGTGAAATCTGCCCTGGGCTCTCCTGTTTCTTGGCTGTTTCCAAGAGAAATGACAGTATGTGCAAACCAGTGCTTGAATGGAGATGGCTGGAAGGGCCTGGGCACTGAGAAGGATGAGTGAGCAGTTCTTGAATGTGTGAGTCCCCAAGGCCTAACTTCAAGGCGTTGCCTAGATTTCCACTTGCCAAATACTGGGGGAGTGAGGGGTGCAGCTCTGCATTTTTACACTGCTCAGAAGGGGTGGCTTCTTTATCTCTGCACGTACAATATGTACCTCCAACTTAATACACCATCTGTAAGAAATCAGTATTTTCTAATTCATAGCTGTAGTGTTGTTTCAGTGTTCCTTCCCTTATTTTAAAGGACTGTTCTTGGTGCTACCCTAATTCTGCACAGTCCCCTTCAGAAGAATTGCCTTTGCAGGATATGATACAGGTGGCCAGATGCATGCCAATGAACCTGTGTGAGCTGTTGTATGCAAGATGTGTGTCTGTTTTGGTGGGATTAGTTTGTGTGTGCTTACTGAGATAAAATGAAGCTGGCTGGTTGATACTCTATTGTCACTTACTTACTGAGCCTCATCTCATGAGCATTGGCCACTCTGCAAGCAGGTACCAGGAGGGAAAACTGATACTGCTCTGTGCCTCTGCTGGCTTGGGTTTATTTGTTATTTACATTCACAATTGCCAGGTGCTGTACAGAAGACGACAGTTCTTGTTCCCTGCCTGCTCCTGGTTCCAGTACATGGGAGGATATATTTTATTTCAGAGCTGATTGGAGTGGATCAAAGGAACTAAACCTGCTTGTGTGATCTAACAGCATTGGTGTGTTTATATCAAGGGCTTCCACAGGCCTGTGGTTTTAATGCCTTTTCATGTCATTCCTTGGGTTCTCCAGTAAGTCTGGAGGATACGCATCTGCCCTTGGACTTGACTGTACTACCACACAGGCAATCTGTGCCATATACCTGCACTGGTGTTGGTCCATCTCTTTTGTGAAGGGACTTTCTCTTAGCTTCCAATGCAAACATAACTGTGTAGCCTTGCCTACGTGGTCCAAAGTCACCTTTCCAGCCGTTTCCACTCCTGTTCCACCAAAATGAATTTTCAGCAGAACACTCATCATGGTCTAAACATAGTTTTTAATCTCTTGTCTTGTTAAAAACTTTGGTTCAGGAGCCATGGCTTAAAGCCTTCTGGATTCAAGGGATGTCTCCAGAGTGATCCTCCAGTCAGCAGGTTGGATTCTGACCAACTTTCTAGTCCTTTTGCATTGCTCTGACAACGGAGTAATTAAAGAAAAGTAATAATTTGACATGAAGGAATTTTAACAGTCATCCTGGTGTGAAACTAGAACCAGGCAAGGGCTGAATCAAACTCTGTGACTTCAGATGGACATCTAAACATACATACAGCTTCACTTCTAAGGTTGCAATTTGTACCTCCAAAGCAGGTATAGCTTTTTTTTTTTTAGCATCTCTTCTATGAAGAGAGGCTGAGAGAGCTGGAATTGTTCAACCAGTACCTGAAAGGAGCCAACAAGAAAGCAGGGGAGGGTTTATTCACAAGGATTTGTTGTGACAGGACGAGAGGTCATGGCTTTAAGCTAGAAAAGGGTAGATTGAGGTTAGATGTTAGGAAAAAATTCTTTAATATAAGGGTGATAGATCAGTGGAATAGGTTGCCCAGAGAGGTTGTGGAAGCCCCATCCCTGGAGACATTCAAGGTAAGACTTTATGAGGCTCTGAGCAGCTTGACCTAGCTGGAGATGTCCCTGCTTATTGCAGGGGGGTTGGACTAGATGACCTTTGGAGGTCCCTTCCACCCCAAAGATTCTATGATGCTATGTTTTTTTTTTTTTTTTCCCCGCTCCCTGTTGTAAAAATATAATTGCAAAGACAAAACCCAGAGAAATAATGGACTGTTTTTCCTGTTTGGAGGGCAGATTTATTACCTGAAACAGAAAACAAAGCATTTGAAAGCAGAAAAGGGAAATTAATAATTTTTTTTTTTCCATTAGAAAACAAACTTATAAAGCATTTAACTTCAGCATGCTGTCTTTGGCTGTATGAGGAACTCTCCACCTTTCAGAAGTCACTGGATCATAACGTGACTGATTTCTTATGGTTGTGAAAGACCTGTGTGGTTTTGACTTTGTCAAATGGATCAGTCACAACATCTACTTCCTTTACAGATTTCTTTTCCTTTCCAGTACGTCTAACACAGGCAAACTAAGTTCTCTGCAGGGGTGAAAGGGAAGGAAATTCCTTGGGAGTCTTATCCTATTTTTGATGACAGTGCCAGTAAAACTAACTGCAGTTTACATCAGTTTACAGCACTTGCTGTGAGGTTTTTGCCAAGGGTGTCCTGCTGTTTGAAAATGTCTCTAGTAGGTTGTAGGCTCAGAACCTGTTTCTCAGACCCTGATTCTTCTCTCTCTGTTGGGAGATAGTTTTCCCAGTGGTGAACTCCTGCATAAGAGCGTTATGGTGTAACTTTCTCCATCTCCACAGTCTTTCCTGGCTCTTGATGTGAGAGGACAGTCCCTTGGCTAGTGTCACCTGTCAGAGCCCTACAGGAGTTGATGGAGCTGAGGACCAGTGTGTCTGACTGTCTGTATGATAGGTCTCAGTGGCCCAGGAGCAGCTGTGACCATTTAATGGGGCTAACACATGTTATGGGCTGCAGTGGAGCACAAAGTGTGCACACATATGTCATACGGGTTGTTAGACTTGAGGAAAGAGCCACTGGGGACACGAGCATGTAGTGAGTCTTCCTGTATCTCTTTAAATTCACTTAGACTCACAGCACAGGACTTGGGGGGGAGATCTTCAAACCCTTCCAGTTCTCACTTCTGTATTGCCTTAGTCCTCAGCCCGGTGCCCTCTGGTACAATGCCAGGCTCAGCTTCAGACTCTTCTGGAGGAAATGGTGCAGGATGATGTGGAGCTATCTAATGAATCATTTAAGCTTTTTCTGTTCTTTCTGTTTTCCAAGCTTGCTGAGCAATATTGCATCCAGGACCTCAGTTAACTGCCTTACTTTTTGCTTTTTCTGTGCTTTTAATGTCTTATAAATAAGACTGCTTTATGTTGTTTGATTTAATTTGTTCCCTAAAGAA